CCAAGGAACATTAGCTGTGCCTCTGCCCCTTGATTGACAATCAGTTGGTATTTACTGATTTGTAGGTTCATTCACCTGATACATTAAATATGCACATTTTATTAAAAAAAAGAATAGTACTAATAGGATCTATACATGTTGAGTTCTAGTTTCCCAGTAAAATCAGTTCTCTATGATCTGAAAGGGCTTAGAGAACCTCAAGGAAGATACAAAAATGTATGATGCCATCATGTCAACAGCTTCTCCCTCATGCCTGACCAGAAGGAGTGATGTTTGACTTAAACCTTTACACCAGCCTTTCCCAGTTTTATGTACTTCCAAAGCTTAACTCATCCAGGAAAGATTATAGGCAGCATCTGGTGGAAAGCAGATTATGTAAGACTGGTCTATACTATCCTGATTCATCCATGGAGAAGTGCAGTATTTTAATCACCTTAGTAAGGAGCTTAGGGAAATCTTTATCGGAGATGTATATGAGGTTGTCTCTAAGGAGGTCCTCTTCTTCCAGACAGCAAAGGTCAAAGATGCTGTTCCTACCCCTGGGAATGGAAATAAATTGGCTTCTCTACAGGTGAAATAGAAGTTGGTTCTTTTTGTTACCTGGCAGCCTTATGATGGATGAAACTCAAGCTCACTGTACTGCCATCATTGGAGAAAACAGTGACAGAGACAAAGAGGGAAGACACTATGAATACTGAGAAAGCTGTCTCAGAAATGGCTGCTTTGAATGGTTATGAGCTGGAATTTAGAAAGATAAAGTTATTTTTTTGGCTGCTGAGACCTGGTCAATATTTCCTCTCCTCTCCCACATGCCTCTCCTGCTAATACAAAACTCTGCACAGCCATCCCTGGATGCACTGGAGAATTTGTTTCTCGTGCTCTTTGGCTAGAAGCAACAACCATGTTGTATAGCATACTGGTTGAGCCATGAATAGCAGAGGCTATTTGGGGACATTACCAAAAGTCTGCCACACTCTGCTATTGACATTTCTTTAGGAGAAATTAATCCTCCTTCCCGCCCCTTTGCTTTTTCACAAAGAAACTCACCCCAACAACCCTCAGACGTACATTTTGTGCAAATCATAATGCGTACAGAGCCATACAGCTGCTGGTGGGCAGGGTGTGGGTGTTCATTAAACAGTCAGCTGTTAATTCAGTGTAAAGTCCCTTCCCTGCACAACTCATTGCAGGCTATTGTCTTTGATTTTCTGTGGCTCAGGATTTTTTCTAAGTGACATTTTTGCCATTCAACCCCCTCTCCCTATTTAGATGACATCAGGAATCTTTAGAATTGCCACTGCTCATCAAACATATTAGATTTCATAAAAGTCAAGAACACCCTTAAAATCAAGATACTGTGTCTAAAGATACAGGTAAAAGAAAGGCAAGATACAACAGATTATGACCACTTTTTCTTTCACATACATGCTTATTTATTTATTTATTTATTTATTTATTTATTTATTTCATAGATTTATATAGCTGTTCATCTTGCAAATGCAACTCTGGGTGGCTAACAGAATTTAAAAACAGTATACATCAAACCCTAATGGAAAACAAACATCCTATTGCAACTGAGGAAACCAGCAACCAACCCATCTGGGCTCACCTAACCTCCCAGCCTCTGGGCCTGGGAAATCAGCCAGGTCTTAAGGGCTTTCCAAACAGGGTCTTTATACACAGTAATGGAAACAACTTCTTTCATCTGTCTTTTGGGAATTAATAACTTGGAGAAGCTTTGAGCAAGAAACAGCTCATAGGAGTTGTTTCTTCATGCTGAAAGCAGGGACTTCGGCTCTGGCAGATTCCTGCTAGGAACGTGAGCTGGAATTCCCTTGGATCAGCACCGCTAAGTGCATTAAGAATGGGCAGCAGAATAACATCTGTTTTCCAGAGTTGCCAAAATAAAACAAAACAAAATAAAATCAGAATTTGATTGCTGGCATGAACATGCTTTAAAAGCTGAAGCACAGAGCAAAATATTATTAAGGTTTGTGTTCTCCAGCTAGTAGAGAAAATATCTTTGAAAGGATAAACATTTCCCATCTTTGCTCACAGTTATATTTGTCTGTAGGAGTCACTTTGTCTCAAAAACTTAGGGTGGCTTATTACTTGGGGAAAAAAAATCAACATTAAAAGTAAGCAAAGTAAAAGAGAACACATCAAACAATGCTGAGTGTGGGAAGTGCTTTATTCATTTGTTATGAATTTATAGGGCTGCCCATCTTAATCAAATAACTCAGGGTAGCTAGCAAGCATAAAAACAGAAATAAATATATAAAAACAATTTTAAAAAACAAAAGACCCCAGGTAAAAAAATGAACTCAATCAGAACAAGATAAAAATACAAACATCCTGGCCCTAAAGCCTGAGGGAAGGGCCAGGATTTTAAGGCCTTCCAAAATGCCAACAGGATTGTGGCCATCCAAACATCATGGGGCCACAACAGAGAAAGCTTGCTTCTAGGTTCTATAAGGTGGCTCTGTTTTCATAGAACCTGGAGCTTGCCCACCCTGCTGGATCTGGAAGAAGAAGCAGAAGCCATCAGAGAGAGGCAGTTTATCAAACATCTTAGCCCTGTGCCATATAGGTGATAAGCCAGGAACTTGAATTGCATCTGGAGATCTACTGGAAGCTAGTGCACCTCAGGTATCAGTGGTGTTATCAGCATACTGAAGATACAACCCCATGCCAACAGATGACCTGACCCTACAGCTTCATGTAGATTTTAAATAGGAGCGGAGAGAGGGTCTAGCCCTGAGGCACCTTGCAAATCAGAGCCCCAGGGCTAGATCTCTCTTCCCCTATCAACACTGAATGGAACTGGTCTCAGAGGAGAACTATCGAAGAACAGTGCCCCCCATTTCCAATCCCCTAAGTCAGTTCAGAAGTATACCATGATAGATGGTATCAGGAGCCACCAAGAAATCAAGGAGGCTCATGATGGAGACCCCCCCCCCATCCCTGGCCTGCCAGAGGTCATCCATAAGCATGACCAGTGATGTCTTGGTGCTATACTTGGCCTGAAACCAGATTAAAAAGGGTTCAGATAATCTGTTTCCTTTAGATCCCTTTGGAGCTATAAATCACCTTTTCATCAATCTCCCCTAAAAAAGGAAGGTTGGAGACTGGACCCTGCAGTGTGTCTCCTGGGAGGCCTTAATTAACCAAAGGAGTCTAAAACACAGATCTAAAACACAGGTGGCAGGACTCAAAGTCCAAGGTACCTTCCTGTTTCCTTAGAACCAACAGGCTCAAACTCTTCCCCAGATTGATCGATCGATCTATCTATTTATCTATCTATCTGTCACCACCTATCTTGTTGAAACGACTCTGGGCAGTTTATAGCAGAGATAAAATCAATTAAAATACAATATAAAAACACTCTTAATAATAAATAAATTCCAGGAATAATGGAGAATTGGTGAGTAACTCAGGGAGCGTTGTCATGGCGCTAACAACCCCCAGGGACGATTAGAACTCCTATCGCCCCATGCGAGCTGGCAGAGCCAGGTCTTTAACCCTTTCCAGAAAGCCAGGAGGATAGGGGCCTGCCACATCTCTGGGGCGAGAATATACCAAAGGGCAGGGCAATGGCAGAGAAGGCTCTCCTCCTGGGCCCCACCAGCTGACATTCTCTCACTGTTGGAGTCCACAACATGCCCTCTGTGCCTGAACAGGTGGGACGGGTTGATGTAATGGAGGTGAGGCGGTCCCTCAGGTAACCTGGACCCATGCCATGTAGGGCTTTAAAGGTGATAACCAACAGCTTGAATTGGACCCAGAAGCAAACTGGCACCCAATGCAGCTCCTGTAGTGGAGGTGTTATATTTGCCATCCTTGGGGCACCTAATATTGTCCGCGCGGCTGCATTTTGAACCAGCTATAGCTTCTGTATACTCTTCAAGGGTAACCCCATGTAGAGCGCATTGCAGTAGTCTAGCCAAGAGATGACCAGGGCATGAGTGACTGACTGGAGAGCCTCCTGATCCAAGAAGGGGCGTAACTGGCACACCACCCAAAGGTGGGCAAAGGCCCTCCTGGTCATGACTGCCACCTGCTCCTTGAGCAGGAGTCGTGAGTGCAGGAGGACCCCCAGATTACACACCAGGTCTGTTTGGGGCACTGCGACCCTGTCCAGAACCAAAGACAGTAAATTCTCGGATACAGAGGGGCCTCCAATCCACAACCGCTCCGTCTTAACAGGCTTTAGCTGAATTGAGCAAGACCGTGCCTCAGTCAGTTCCATAGGAACTGCCCAGCCAGATTCCAACTCTAAGCAAATCCAAGCAATTTCTTTCTGATAGATGCCAAGAATAATCCTCACAATGACCCAGCAGCGGCTCTCTTGGTTTCTTCCCACTCAAGAGGAACTGAGTCACCCCAAACAGGACTGCTTCTGTCTGTCTGGACGTGATCAGAGTGGAGAAATAAATACATTTTGCCACTCTTATCACCCCAAGATAGTCCCTAATAAAAATTCTTATCTGTGCCCAGATTGTCTCTTCATTCTTCCTCTTTACAAATAAATATCATTATGAAATATCTTCCAGAAATCAGCCAGAATTAATCTTCATTTTTAGTAGTGTATCTTTTCCCTGTTTGATTTGGTAACAGTATTTAACAGGTAATTATTGCTTAATTCACCCATTCCCAGTCTTGGCACTTTCCGGATGCATGGACCAAGTTCCAAGGTTCTCAAAATAACCATACTGACTAGGAATTTGGGCAGTTTTATTCCCCACAATTGGAGGGTGAAGGAAGGTGGAGGATGTTTGCTGTAATTTGTATTTCAGAAACTAGGTTAGAGATTAGACACGGCCTGTGTAAAATCACAACCTTTGATGATGTAGATTGTACATATTGTGGCTGGTTTTTTCCCCCCATTTATATGTACATGAAATTAAGAGAAGCAGCTCAACAGTAGTTTTGGGGTGGTGATGGGAATAGGAAGCGAGCAGGGAGCAGAAGGAGTAAGCAATATACTACCTGGCATAAACATGGATGAGGAGAACTGGATGGTACTGGCAGTAGAGTGTGTGTCATCTATGTAGGTTTATTTGTCACTTTGTGGGGTGGGAGTTGCTGTTTTCCTGCTGGAAAGGCTTCCTTTTGGGACTGTAATGAAAACCAGGGCTATCATGTGAAGGACTGAGATCAAAGTGCTGAAAATACAACTGACTGCATTAGGCTCAATGGATCCACTGGCTGCAAAATGTCTCTTGCAGAAAGATCTCACATAACTTAATGGAATGATTGTGCCTGCCTTTCAGGGAGGAATCAGGAGACCCTATGGTATTATTTCCCATTCACAGATAGAAAAATAGTTTCTTTGTTGTGATTGTATTGCAACAGAAAATAATTAAAATGTTTAAATTATTAAAACAATTAACACCCCCCATGTAATCAGCACTGTAACTGTATTAGTAGATTAGCTGACAGTGAAAATAATTAAGGGGTTTTTTTTACCTGGATTAATCCATGCTTTACTTATGCAAATTTACAAACTTGATTAGCACCTTTTAGTGAGTAAAGAATAACACAGTCCTTTTGGCTGTCTCTCCCAAGGATTGTGGAGTGCTAGCATTGATGATGTTACCTAGTTGGGTAATGAAACGTCTGCAAGCAAACAACCAAACTCAAGAGAGCACTAAGGACTCCACAGATCAACCCTGAGCTACATATATTTTCTTCTCCCAAGGATCTCAGACCCACCCACCCTTCCTTCCTTCCTTCCTTCCTTCCTTCCTTCCTTCCTTCCTTCCTTCCTTCCTTCCTTCCTT